AGATAAATCTGTCATGAGTCAATTATCTGACTCAGATAAATAGACAACCTTGGGCAAGATGGTCTCTGAGCTTTAGCTTCCTTATCTGTAAAATGGGCATAAAATCTACCTTTCAGGATTGTTGTAAGGGTTAGAAATCTCATACAGATCACTAACCATAGCATCTGGCACCAGCAGATATTCCACAACGCTATTCTTTAAGCTACTTCTATTATTATGATTACTCTTGTCTAGGTAGATCTATTTTATTATGTCTCATGGCAATGCTCCCTACCCATTTCTCTCTTATTGTAAAACCAACATAATACCCTCTTACTGTGTTTCTTCTATCAGTTAACCTTGTCTATTCTTTCAATGGTGGTTCTACCCTCAGCCACAGGTGGGATTTTTTATCCTAGTACAAACAGTATACAAATTATAGCCGTTATCCAGCTCATTCTACTAACTTTCCTGTCACAGCTTCTTTACAGTTTCATAACACTGACTGAGCATGCAGTAACTTAAGATTACAATATACATGACTCCAAAGGGGTAAAGGAGACAAGTCTGTAAACGGGATGGGAAAGATTTAATGACCTGAACCATGCTCCAAATCATCCTGAGTGGTGCAACAAAGAGTTAGCGACCATCTTCTAGAAGAGTAGGGAAACTTTTCCTATCAAGGGCCATGGTCTTATAGAAAACAAACTAGTTTAAGGCCTCATAAGGAAGAGAATTGTAAGAGAAATGATCTCATCTACTTCAGAAAAATAGACATTGTCAAAAGTAGTAAAAATTAGTCTCAAGAACAGTATCTGAGCATCAGCAAGTCCTATAGATTTACTTGCAAAATATATCCCGAAGCTGACCACTTCTCAACGTTTCCATGGCCACAGTCATAATCCTGAATGGCTGACTCCACTTTCACTCTTCCCTCTCTCCAAAATCATTTTCTACAGAGCAGTGAGAATTACCTGGTTTTAAATTTTATATTATGATATTATTATTGTGTTTTTATTTATACTTTTCTTTTTTTCTCCTGCTGTCTTGTCTTCTTTTTGATTAATCAAGTTTTTGTCTTGTTTTGTTACTTTAATTCTCTTTTTCTCTTCTTTTGGTTCAGAAATAACACACTTTTTTTCTATTATTTTGGTACCTACTCTTACAATGCACACTTAAATCTTAATTAAATTAGTACAAATCCAATCAATTTTGACATATTTCTCCCAAACAATATGGAATCTCAGATAGTTTTAATTATAATTCCCATCCTGTTTTATGTGTTATTATTGTATTTTTTACTGACAGGAGCAGTCATTTTTAAAATACAGTAATTGTTTTTTCAGATTTAGCCACACATTTCTTTGTTTACCATTCCTTCTCCCATCTTAATATATCCTTCTTTGCTCAAAATCATTCTCTCTATAGTAAATCTTTTTAACAGTTCTTTTGATGAGGATTTATTGGTGGTAACATCTCTCAGGTTTTGGTTTGTTTGAAATATTTTATTTATTTTTAATTTTGGAATAATATTTTAGCTGAGTATAGAAGTCAAGGTTGACAATTATTCTCTCTTAGCTTATCAGACCCACACAAAAACTGGAATAAAACAGAGACAAGATCACTCTGAAGCCACAAAAATAAGCAAACATCCCCTCTTTTAACATGAGTAATTGCTGCTTTTTTGTTGTTGTTTTAACCAATTTCAGCTCCAATCTCTCTTTAATCCTCCCACCTCCCAGATAAAAATTTAGATACCCCATCATTGAAATGCCCCCACTTCCTGATGGTGTTCAATCCAAAATTGGCCCTCATGATTCTGAACTAGAGTTCAGAATCATCCAACAGAAACCCAAACTCTGTAAGAGGCTCCTCCTAGCTCACCCTCACTGAAATGGTCCCATAATTCCACTGCAGCATTCTCTCCCTTGCTGTAGCAAGCCCAATAAACCCTACTTTTTTGACTAGAGGTTTGTTCCCAGTGGTGTTTGGTCCATGGGCTTTGACAAGGATGACGGTCAAATTTCTCCAATAATCTCAAAGGAAACATAGATGACTTCTGACTTTAAAATGTTATTACGGAAATTTTCAAACATTTACAAAAAGAAAGAGACTAGTATAATGAATCCCTGTGTATCCATCATCCAGTTTCAACAATTATCAATTCATGTTTCAATCATGTTTTATCATTACTCCCACTCACTTCTCCCCCATCTTGGATTATTTGAAAGCAAATCCTAGGTATGCTTTTTTTTTTTTTTTTTTTTTGCTGAGGAAGATTCACCCTGAGCTAACATCTGTGCCAATCTTCCTCTCTTTTGCATGTAGGTCGCCGCTACAGCATGGCTGCCGCCCAGTGGTATAAGTCTGCGCCTTGGAACCGAACCTGGGCCGCTGAAGCGGAGCGCACGGAACTTAATCACTAGGCCATGGGGCCAGCCCCCTATCCTATCTTTTTATCTGCAGATATTTCAAGATGTAGCTCTAAAAGATAAGCACTTGTTTTTTAAAAAGTACAATTTATGGGGTGTTAGCTCAGGGCCAATCTTGTTGCCAATCTTCCTCACAAAAAAAAAAGTACCATTTATGACACCAACAACTTTAACAATAATTCCTTATAAATCACCAAGTATTCAGTGAGTGTTCATCAGCATTCAAATTTCCCTAATTGTCTCATAATTTTTTTTCTTGATTTAGGATCCAATAAAGTCCATACTCTACAACTGTTTGATGTCTCTTGTCTCTTTTAGTTTATAGGTTCCCTCTCCATCTTTTTTTTCCAGTTTATTTGTTGAAGAACCCAGGGCATTTGTCCTGTAGCATATTCCCACACTCTGGATTTGCATCTCTGAGGTATCACTTGATGTCTCCTGTGTTTCCTCCAAATTAGTAGTTAGCTCTAGTCTAGAGGTTGATCAGATTCAGAATGCAAGGCTACTTCATAGGTGGAATTGTGTACTCTACTTATGATCAGAAGAACATAATGTTTGTATCTCCTTTTGTAATGGATAACAGTCGCTGTTGATCATTGCCCAGATACCTTAATTCATTAGGAGTTACGAAATGTTGATATTCTAATTATGCCATTCCTTCTTCATTCATTTGCTGGAAAACTTCTACAAAGAGAAATTTTCCTCTTGTCTTGAATTACCACAGGAAAAACAGGATAAATGCCCGATTCCTTCCAATTACTAGCAGTCTTCAAAATAATGAGTTGATCCTCTAGCATTCTCCAACAATGACCAACGAGTTTGTATTTTTAAGCATCAATGTGAACACATAGATTTGAATATATTTGATATGTTTAAATCCATCGCAGAGAGTATCCATTTTCACATTCAAATTGTCCCATCTTTGGCCAGTGGGAACTATTCTAGTTGCTTCTGAGTCCTTTTGGTACACTCCTAATAGCCTTTGAAAGCTTCCTTGCTTATCTTGGACAATTTCTGCCCCATACCTGAAATTTCTCCAAGGAATTCCTTTTAGTGGGAAATGGCATTTAGATAGCTCAATTTGGACACTAGGGGTGTTCATTGCTACTGAGTTATCATTTCTAGGCCTTTTCAGGATAAAGATAGAAAATGTTTTAGGATAAAATGCACCATGAGCTCACAGTTATACTTCCAATTTAAATCCAGAATTATACAGTTTTTAGTTAACTTCTTCCATCACAAATCTGTATCTCTTTATTCTACACCAAAAATCCTGGTTCACAAAGACACTAACATTATTATTCATTTGTTTTATCCCACAATACACTCACAATAGTTTCAGAATAACAATACCAACACAACCACCAACAACATGACTACTTTACAATATTTTTACACTTCTTTTTGTCCTTAGAGTATATCCCACTTGGGATGCCATAGTCAAATTATTGTGCTTTAAAGTCACTTGAAGTTTGGTTGGGGGCATTTTACATTTTTGTAATAAAAGCCCTTGTGATATGGCCTCATGTGGTAGAGAAAAAAACTAAATTTGTCCAATACATATGTATAATAACGAGAAGAGTACTGTGTGGGCCTCTAGATTTTGAATTAAATGTAGAGCCAATTAAAGCAGATGCCTCACTGACACTATTTGGAATCAGCCCTTGTGTTAATTTCACTTGGCAAGTACTAAGAGATGATCCCAGATGCTTATGGCTGCAAAAATATGACATAGCTAAATTCCTTGGTTGCAACATCTTAAAAGGTCACAAGATTATGTTACTCCACAAAATTACCTTTCTGAGTCTCTTTTTCTCTCAGTTTGTCTCTCCAAGTCCCCCTCCCCTGTAGATTAGTAATCATCAAAACATTCTATCTCTACTCTTTCTTCACTTCTTCGCCTTTGCTAGCCTCCTCTCCCAGCAACTTAGGAGCTTTTTATTTTTTTGTTTATTGGTGAGAGGGAGGGAAGGGGAATTGCTGTATAAACTAAGGGAATGAAAATGGAGGAGGTAGGGTGATAGACAGCTGCAAGGATCTGACCTGGTAGACTGAAACAAACCCTCATCCTAAACAACTCAGAGCTCAGATTTCTTCTCTGGACAGCTGGCTTTTTTAGTCCTCCTGAAATACTCTGCAAAAATAGGGGAGGGGCTGTGAACCACCTCTGCTATGGATCTTACTTAAAGTCAGCTACCTCCTAGATACGTTCTATAGAAACTAAATGCGATATTCAATATAGCAGGGATGAGGGTGAACGAAAAGTATACAATTGGCCACTCTAATTTTTAAAGGCCAGGAGCTCATTATTGACAATGCTGGAGGGCTGCCTGGAGTAGGCAGTGACTAGAGTCATATAAGCTGGAACTGGGTATCTGACCTGCCTGTAATATTTGTCTCCCCTCCCCGACTTGGCACCCTATACTCCATATTCTTTCTAATCCTCCTACCCTCCCCACTCCCCCAAGTCCCACACCCTACCCCCACCAACACTCCTGGAATTTTGGACTTAGCTATTTTTAAAACAGTCAACTCAGTAGCCACCTCCCTCCCCCGCTCAGCTGTCCAGTACTCCGGCCAGCCATATACTCCCCCTTCCCCCACACCAAACCTTCTCTGGCTCCCTGACCTCAGTGAGATTGCAGCTGGTCTGAGGACCTGTGGGAGACATGGAGAAAGAGACGGGGCATCCCCTGGCTGGAGCTGACCGACAGAGTAGGCAGTCATGGCTGGAGAATTGGATATCAGAGTAATGTTTGACCTCTGGAAACAGTAAGTGAAAATGAAATTGCAATTCCTTTAATAAGCTTTAGGATTGAAGTTAGACTTTCCTAAAACTACGACACCTATGTGGATGTCTCTGGTCCAAAAGCTAGGATTTCTTCCATACTAAGGTGTCCCAATTTCCATTTCTCCTTCTGTCTTATTTCTTTCTGGCCTCTGGCCTCTGGCCATTTGAAGTTTAATCCTCAGTCTCTTCTTAGGCAGTCTTAGCTCTCTCCTTACCTTATTACCTCAAGACTTCTGATGAAGTCTCCTTCTTTAGGAGGAGTTTCCCACATCCCCCATTCTGTGGTTTTCTCACCAAGACCAAATTTAACCTCAGATGATTAGTCACTGATACCCTTCTACCCTGCCCCTACTTAGCAGTGGCCTTCACAATGGACTTCCAAGAGTGGGGGTTACTCCTTGTTGTAAATGATTTCTCCTCATAACTCTAGTCCCACCATCCTATTTTCCCTCCTGCATGACTCTTCCCCCAATCATATCCTTACCCCAAGAGTGGGGAATTCGGCAGGAGGAGGTTAGTGCCTCCCCAAGCCCTGTCCTCATAAAAAGATTGAGAACTTCTGAATTTGCAAAGGGAAGATTAATGAAAAGAGTGGTTCTTCAATCAGGTTTGGAAAAATTCAAGAACTGTTGACTCAGAACAAACAAATATTGATTTGCATGCTTGGTTTGCATCCCATTATTCCATGAGAGAGAAGGATTATAATTGCAGCTCTCTAGAGTAGATGAAAGAGATCCGTTTCCTTTTCATTTGAATACTGATGTTCTAGAGAGGGGATGGGTATTCCAGTCACTCCTTGCTGAAAATTCTGACACAAAGAAGGAAAAGAAATTAATGACCCCTAGAGGGTGTCCCCTCCTGATGGGGAGGGACAAATAAGAGGTATGTTTCTGAAGTATTTTCAGATCCTAACTCTATTGGGGAGCCCACTGGGATGATTGGGATCTGATCTATCCCCATGATTCCTCCTTTTTTGACATTTCCACTATTTGGTAGTTCAGGATGGGGCAATACAGTGGACTCTGCTCCCTGAGTCCACTCAACCTTCCTTCCACCCCCACCTAGGGGTATTGCATAAGGGACCTGAAAGTGGCCACAAGAGCAGGGCACAGAGGCTTAACAGCCGAAACTTACAGTTTCGGGAGCCCTTTTCTCCCCAAACTCCAGTCTGCTCATTCTTTACTTGATCTCCCCAGATTCTCTTTACGTCATCCTGAACAATCTTCAACTCTTCTCTCTCCCCATGCCCAGCCAAATTTCTTTTTTCAGTCCCTTACAGGACGTCCGGTCAAAATTCACTAGGTAGGAGGGTCATCAGCTGGAAAGAACCGGAGCCTGGGGGGACCTGGCTGGATAGGTATGGGGGATCCAGGCCAGTCCCCTAGTCCCCGGTCCACCCATGGCAGTCCCCCAACTCTAAGCACTCTCACTCTCCTGCTGCTCCTCTGTGGACATGGTAAGGAAGGGCTAGGGAAGGGTTTGGGGAATCTAGAGGGTAGGCTGCTATGTAGGGGTGGGCATGTGTGAGCATGTGTGAGTGAGAAGAGATGGGTGCTGAGGAGTCCTTGTCATTCATCCCACTCTCAAATGGGTATATTTTGTTTCTCATTCATCTTGGGGAAGGGTTCTGGGAAAGCCTTTGATCGACAGGGAGAAAAGATCTAGCAGTCTTACATATTTTTAGCAAGACAGAGTGAGGACAGGACTAGGGAGCTGGGGGCTGGGGACTGGGGAAGGCCTTCAGCTGGGTTTTAGGAACGCCTGGAATCCCCTGCTGAGATTTGGGAGAGCATACTCCGATAGAGCCGGGATCTGGGGACCATCTCACAATCCTCTCCTTTCCATCTCAGCTCATTCTCAATGCAAGATCCTCCGCTGCAATGCTGAGTACGTGTCGTCCACCCTGAGCCTTAGAGGTGGGGGTTCACCAGGAGCGCTTCGAGGAGGAGGAGGAGGCCGGGGTGGAGGGGTGGGCTCCATCGGCCTCTGTCGAGCCCTCCGTTCCTACGCCGTCTGCACTCGGCGCACAGCCCGCACCTGCCGCGGGGACCTCGCCTTCCATTCGGCTGTGCACGGCATCGAAGACTTGATGATCCAGCACAACTGCTCCCGCCAAGGCCCCACTGCCCCGCCCCAGCCCCGGGGCCCAGCCCTTCCAGGCGCAGGCCCCATCCGCTCCTCTGGCCCCCCAGCCCCGGACCCCTGTGACTATGAAGGCCGGTTTTCCCGGCTGCACGGTCGTCCCCCGGGCTTCTTGCATTGTGCCTCCTTCGGGGACCCCCACGTCCGCAGCTTCCACCACCATTTTCACACGTGCCGTGTCCAAGGAGCTTGGCCCCTGCTGGATAATGACTTCCTTTTTGTCCAGGCCACCAGCTCCCCTGTGGCATCGGGGGCCAACGCCACCACCACCCGGAAGGTCAGGGACTCAACGGCTCCTCCAGACCCTCTCATGGTCACCCCACCGTACCACTCCCATCCCACTCCCACTATTCCACAGCAATGCTCCCTATTCCCTTTCTTCCTCAACCACTCCCACATCTTGAATCACTCCCACCTGCCAGACAGTTGCTCCTGTAAATCACTTTTCCTTGGTGGGAATTTCACTCCAATGCAGAAAACATTGAAGAGAAGGTTGGGGAGAGGAGAGCTGAGGAGCCCTGGGTTGAGAAGTTAGAGAAGGGAAACTTTACTTCTCCTGTGGGAATTGCTGAGATTGAGACCAAAAAGGAAGGGAAGGGTTGACCAGGGATGAGGCAATATTGGAACATAAAGAGAAGAAGGGATCAAGCAGTGAGAGCCAGAACAAGCCTTGCATCTCTACTGGGATCATATCCCTGACTATGTATGAGGCCTAATTGGGGGAAGGGGGGAGGATGCACTGAGCCCAAAATGAACTGTTTTCCCTCTTGCCCTCACAGCTCACCATTATATTTAAGAACATGCAGGAATGCATTGATCAGAAGGTCTACCAGGCTGAGGTGGACAATCTTCCTGCAGCCTTTGAAGATGGTTCTATCAATGGAGGTGACCGACCTGGGGGCTCAAGTTTGTCTATTCGAACTGCTAACCTTGGGAGCCATGTGGAGATTCGAGCTGCCTATATTGGCACAACTATAATCATTCGGCAGACAGCTGGGCAACTCTCCTTCTCCATCAAGGTAGCAGAGGATGTAGCCAGGGCCTTCTCAGCTGAGCAGGACCTGCAGCTCTGTGTTGGGGGGTGCCCCCCAAGTCAACGACTCTCTCGCTCAGAGCGCAATCGTCGGGGAGCTATAACACTTGATACTGCCAGACAGCTGTGCAAGGAAGGGCTGCCAGTTGAAGACGCTTACTTCCATTCCTGTGTCTTTGATGTTTCAATCTCTGGTGACCCCAACTTTACTGTGGCAGCTCAGGCAGCTCTGGAGGATGCCAGAGCCTTCCTACCAGACTTAGAAAAGCTGCATCTCTTCCCCTCAGATACCGGAGTTCCTCTTTCCTCAGCAACCCCCCTAGCTCCACTCCTTTCTGGGCTCTTTGTTCTATGGCTTAGCATTCAATAGATAGGCCAGCAATCCCATGATTGGTTTAGAAATTATTTGGGGATAGAGATTGGTAGGGAAGAACATAAAGAATCACTGAAGGAAACTGGACTAGGAGACACATGAAACAATGACATTTACCCAGAGTCAGATAAGGCTGCAGTCCAGGTTTGAAATGATCACAGAATAAGGATTCGGGGCAAAGTTACTGCATTCCAGACCTCTGTGGGGGCTCTTCACCAATTTTCCCAGTCCTATTTATAGTAATTGAATTGTTCCAGTCCATGTACTCCTGAGATCACCCCTACAAGCTTAGAGGTTATAGGGGTCCTGATGATCAGTAGAACTTAAGGGTTGAGACTCCTAAGAGGGGAGAACTGAAAGAGGAAGACATGATCATTACCTATAAGAGACTCAAAATCTAATGATATTTTCTCTTGGAAGATGGAAAGAGGAGGAAATGATTAGGGAAAAGAGTCTATTTGATGAACATATGTGGGCAGGATGTGTTCTGCTTTCTTGGTTCAGAAATGAAGTGGGGGTTGTCCGGATCTTAGGTGAATGGAATCTCTGCCTTTGGAGAACGGCACAGATAGGAAGGAAGCTATCATCCCCACTCCTAACTACTCTGTTATTAAAGCTATGAATTCTCCACATCCTCCTCTGTTGCCTGTATTGAATCTCTTTACAGATGCTTGAAATGGGGTAAAGGCAATGTGTTCACTCCACTGAAAGAGAGCTCAGAAGTATCAGATATGGTTTCTGCCCTCAGGAAGTTTACATGCTATTAGGGAGATAAAATTGATTCACATGAAAGAGTGATGAGTGTGTAATTATTCACTAAATTCTACGTTACCATGAAAATTCAGATGGGCAGATGGTTGACAAGAACTCAAGAAATAACAAGTAATAAGGGATAATAGAGGAGATGGGTTTTGAAGTGATCTTTGAAGACTGGGTAGGATTTGAATTGTTAAGGACCTTCTAGGCAATGGAAACCTATCTGGAGTTATGCACAGATTTATGATTCAGTGAGGAAACCAGCAAGATTCAAATGCAGCAGACAAGAAGTAACGGCATAGAAGGGTAGATGGGCAGAGGCCAGATTATGGAGCAACTTGAAAGTGGGGCCAAGAAGTTTAAATTCAATTAACAGCTAACATTTATTGAGAGCTTAAAACCTGCCAGACAATGTCCTAAACACTTTTAAATTATTAATTCATTTAATCCTCACAACTCTCTATGGAAGGTAATATTCTTATCTCTATTCTTATATAAAGAAACTGAGGTACAGGAAGATTAAGCAGCTCACCCACAGTCACACAGCTAATAAATGATAGAGCCAGAAACTGAACCCAGGCAGTTTGGGTCCAGAGCCTTAACTCTTAACCACTATACTATATTGTCAAGGAAACAGCCATTAAAGGCTTGGTTGTGGACAGGGAAGGGGAGCTGCAGTGGTGGCTGCCACTACAAAAGCTACTTTCTTCTCTCATATGAAACCCATAAAGGAGAGCTGGGGAGAGGGGAAAAAAAGCCCAAAGTTGAAGGAATCTAGTTTGTGGAAGAAAAGACTGAGAATAGCAGCTGTTCTAGTCCAGGATGTTCCAAAGTAACAGTGCTACACTGAACAAAACTATGAAGGAGGTAACTTTTATATCCAGTATTTTCCCTTTTTTTCTAGTCTCAGTCTCCCCCTTCAGGTACTCCATTATCTAGGGCCTGCCCTCCCTGATCTAATCATGTATTCACCCTTATCTTCCCATGCTTCTCTCAGCCTCACTCACCAGACCATACACCCCCAGAACACATATACACACTGGCCAGCACTTACCAGACAGGTGTCCTCTCTGGTCTGCCATTTCAAATTTCTTTTGCAATTCTTCATCTCCTATTCCCTCCTCTCCATCTCCTCTAAGGACCACAGCCTCTCTGCCATTTCCTCAAAGCACAATCTCTATACTTTATGAAATGACAGTTTGCTCATCTAGAAAACAATCTGTTCTAATGGAGGAAAAATATCCAGGGCTTCCCCTTCACTTACAGATAACATAGGCATTTTAACTCAAAACATCTTTTTTAGAAACTGCTCGTTATAGTGATTCTCTTAACTCAAAAGAGTAACTTTATCCCTCAGGTGCAAGAATTTCAAGTAAGTTAAGAAGAATTTCATGGCCAACTGGTAGATGTGATTCTTTTATGGCACCTGTCATATAACAATGCTTCCTTTGCCCAAACTTAGGGTTAGCTCTACTACCAATGAAGTATTTAAAAATGGGTAGCTCAGGGGCTGGCCCCGTGGCTTAGCGGTTAAGTGCGCACGCTCCACTGCTGGCAGCCCGGGTTCGGATTCAGGCGCACACGGACGCATCGCTTCTCAGGCCATGCTGAGGCAGCGTCTCACATACAGCAACTAGAAGGATGTGCAACTATGACATATAACTATCTACTGGGGCTTTGGGGAGAAAAAGGGGAAAAAAAGGAGGAAGATTGGCATAGATGTCAGCTTAGGGCCAGTCTTCCTCAGCAAAAAGAGGAGGATTGGCATGGATGTTAGCTCAGGGCTAATCTTCCTCAAAAAAAAAAAATGAGTAACTCAAAATAAGCACATGAAAAGATGCTCAACATCATTAGTCATTAGTGAAATGCAAATCAAATTAAAATCACAATGAGAAAACACTATACATCCATAGAATATAGTCAAAAAGATTGACCATATCAAGTGTTGGCAAGCTCTTACACGCTGCTTATGGGAATGTAAAATAGTAAAACCACTTTGTAAAATGGTTTGGCAGTTTCTTTAAAAGTTAAACTTACACTTACAGTACAAGCTAAACATTCACTCTTAAGCATTGACCCAAGAGAAATGATAACATGTCTGCACAAAAACTTGCATATAAATGTTCATAACACTTTTGTCTCCAATAACCAAAAACTAGAAACAAGCCAGATGTCCATTAATAGGCAAAAAGATGCACCTATTGTGGTAAATCCATACAATGCCACTCAGCAATAAAATGAAATAAACTACTGATAGACACAACAACATGACAAATCTCAAAACAATAATGCAAGTGAAAGAAGACAACAACAAAAAGGAGAACATACTGTTTGCTTCCTTTTATATAAAATTATAGAAAATGCAAACTAATATATAGTGGAAGAAAAGAGATCCAAGGCTGCCTGGAGATGGGCAGAGAGGGAGGGATGGTTTACAACGGGGCATGAGGAAACTTTTGGGAGTAACGTGTTCATTATCTTGACTGTGGCAGCAATTTCATGGGTATACATTTGTCAAAACCCATGAAATTATACACTTTAAACACGTGTAATTTATCACACATCAAGTATACCCAATAAAGCTGAAATTTTTAAAAAATGGGTAGCTGACCTTTCCCTCCTCCTTTGGTGCATCAGATAAAGGCTTAGAACCACCATAGCATAAAAAAGATTACAACAGACTTTCCTTCTTCTAGGAAAACACATAGAAGAAGAGGATGATGGAGCAAAGGAAGAGAATATTTAATGATTTTATATTCTCTCTTCTACTCCTATCACAAGCACCATATTCCTTCCTCCAAATTGTCACTCTCAAGGTCAGAGACCATAAAAAGGATAGTTTCTGGTTTAAAAACATCAACCCTGTGCCTCATAATTTTGTCTTTCCACTCCACTAACAGTCAGCAGGTGGCGTTGGTAACTAAAAAGAATTATTCAGTGGGGATGGGGCAAGTCTTCAGAGAAAAAGAAAATTAATTTCTTAGATTATCTGATATGTTGATCATTTCAGAGAAAATATTAATAAGCATTTGACAGAACTGGCATTTCAGAAATAAATCAAAGATAGGTGCATAGTAAACTAAATAAATTGTTTAAATAAATTATTATAACTTCACGACAAACAGAGAGTTGTTCAAGACATAAAACAATCAAAATACACTACTTGGCTCCACAAGAGATATTATTTACACAGAGATAATGATGTAAACACTGACTATTGATTTAGCCAAAACCGTGATATAACTCTATTGAGAGGATGAGGTAAGAGGAAAGGGATGATAGGGATACAATGTGATGTAAGATGCTTAAAGTTTCAATTACTTTAACAAAAAAAGAGTAGATATGTCTAATATTTCTAAATTAAGAAACAAAATAAGAAACACATAATTTAGAAATATTAAGTAAATACCAGACAAAAAAGCTGAAAAAATTGGAAGACACCATCTCAATACAGAGACTTGAGGACTACTGTTTTTTTGTGTAAGCATTAAATATTATGTGATTTTAACTACATTATGTTACATTATTTTGATTTAAAAAACAGAGAACAGGGGATGGCCCGGTGGCGTAGTGGTTGGGTTCGCGTGCTCCGCTTTGGCAGCCCGGGATTCACTAGTTTCGATCCTGGGCGCAGACCTACACACCGCTTATCAAGCCATGCTGTGGCAGGTGTCCCACATATAAAATAGAGGAAGATGGACTCTCCATAATATATAAAGAACTCACACAACTGAACAACAAAAAAACAAACAACTCGATCAAAAAATGGGCAGAGGAAATGAACAGACACTTCTCCAAAGAAGATATACAGATGGCCAATAGGCACATGAAAAGATGTTCAACATCACTAATCACCAGGGAAATGCAAATCAAAACAACACTAAGATATCACCTCATGCCCGTTAGAATGGCTATAATCACTAAGACAAAAAACAACAAATGTTGGAGAGGATTCGGAGAAATAGGAACCCTCATACACAGCTGGTGGGAATGCAAACTGGTGCAGCCTCTATGGAAAACGGTATGGAGATTCCTCAAAGAATTAAAAATAGAAATATCCTATGATCCAGCTATCCCACTACTGGGAATCTATCTAACGAACCTGAAATCAACAATCCAAAGAGGCTTATGCACCCCGGTGTTCATTGCAGCATTATTCACTATAACCAAGAAGTGGAAGCAACCTAAGTGTCCCTTGACTGATGATTGCATCAAGAAGATGTGGTATATATATATAATGGAATACTACTCAGCCATAAAAAAGACAAAATCGTCCCATTTGCAACAACATGGATGGGCCTGGAGGGTATTATGTTAAGTGAAATAAGCCAGAAAGAGAAAGACAATCCCTGTATGATCTCACTCATATGTGGAATATAAAGCAACACATGGACAGAGAAAATCGTATTGTGGTTACCAGGGGCAATGGGGGTGGGGGGTGGGCACAAGGGGTGAAGGGAAACATATATGGTGACGGACAAAAATGTACAACCCAAAATTTCACAGTGTTATAAACTATTAAAACATCAATAAAAAAAAATAGAGGAAGATGGGCACAGATGTTAGCCCAGGGCGAATCCTCCTCAGCAAAAAGGGGAGGATTGGCAACACACATTAGCTCAGGGCTAATCTTCCTCACCAAAAAGAAAAAAGGACATCTCCACCTTGGCCAGTTCTGAGCTTTTCTCCCTAACTTCCTAAACTCATGACCACCTCAACCATTTCTCAGATCCACCCAACCCCTCCCTTCCCACTTCACCCCACCTTGTATACTTCACGGCAAGCTCCTTCCCACATTTCTTCTCAAGGAAACAGAGATAATTTCTATGGTCCAGTGATTACGGTTCTCAAAATCAGCGCCAAGAAACTGCACCAGCA